GGCGTCTTGACCGCAAACACAAAGCAGGGTGGCAGCCTTCAAGCTCTCTTCCCTCACTTGGTTTGCCTTGAAGTAGTTCTCCACCCTGGCTACGTATGACTCCCACCGCTCTGGATGTGAGACGTCGAATTCCGAAAGCCTTCCGATTTTCACCATCTTCAGAAGACGGGTCTATCAGCCAGCCTACCCCCGAATGCGCACTGGATTGGCGGGTAGCTGCCGAGTCGACGCCGTTCCGCCGCTCAGGACTCACTTGGGTAAGCTTACACTTCTTCCTTTCCAGGCGGTGCAAGGCATCCCACCCTCGTCGCCAGTGTTGAGTCCTTGGCGGGAAGCAGACACGAGAAGCAGTTGAAGTTCTCAGTTTCCTTTATTCAGCGTTCAGCTTACAAGTAGATGGCTTCAGCAGCTCCCAAAACCTCCCAGCTTCTTATATAGACGCTTCCCGGGTAAATGTGATACTTTTCCCGCGCCAGCACCCGCGCATGCGCACGGCGCTGGCGACAGCCTGTCTGGTCCTGGGCAGCTTTGCACCTGCCCGGGACTGCCTGCAAACGCCCGAGCCGTTTGCAAGGCTCAGGACATAACAGATTTATTTACAGGAATTACATTTTAGGGATAGATAAAGCCTAGTACCTGGCTAGATGCTTGCTATCAGAGGAGCAAAAAAGCATGTGCTTTGTGCACGTGAGCCTGGGAAGAAAGCCAGAAGTGATCTCAGGTTAACTCTCTCTTAGACAAAGAACAAGCAGGGTGTTAAATAAAGAGGAGGCAAAAAGTAAATTCTTCATTTACATCTTCTCTTCCTTGAGGATCAAGCGGTGCTGAAGTATTATTATCTATTATACATCCAGTTCAATGAAGACAGAATCTGAGAGGACAGGTGGAACAGAATGTGAGGGAATAATAATAATAATAATAATATAATAATAGTAGTAGTAGTAATAATAGGAGCTGGACCCAAATATGCTGCTCTGTTTCTTCTTTTGTGTAATTCCTGCTATCCAGAAGACAGAAATCACAATGAGTGCAGTGATGAGATTCAAATACGTGAACAACTAGTTCTCTGTGTGGATGCTGCTTCCAGAAGTCCATTCTGGGGTTGGGCCTCCAAGGCTCAGAATGGACTTCTGGAAGTGGTGTCCACATTCTTCCGATGTCCGTTCCGGGCCTGAGAGGCCTCCTCCGGCCCTCCAAGGCCTAAAACAGACTTCCAGAAGTGGCATCCACGCACTTCCAAAGGGCCATTCTGGACCTTGCAAAAAAGGGCTAGGGTTTCAGCCGGTTCATCAAACTCAACAAAAATTAGCTACTGGTTCTGCTGAACTGGTGCAAACTGGCTGAATTCCACCACTGACTGTGTGTATTCAAGTACAGTGTTTGGCAAACAATTTGGTTGAAATTGAAATCATAATATGGGAAATTAAGTCTGATAAAATATGTTGTCACCAAGATTTGACAGGTATTTTAAGTACTATATATACTAAACCAAAAGAGAGGCAGAATTGTGACCAAAGACATTTGCCTAGATATTATTGCACAATTTAGATCTTACAAACATAGCCCTGGTTAATAGCCAGGATAAAGCAACTGATTCAAGGCAGCACAATTGTGTTTACCAATAAAAGGAAATAAATTAATTATGGTGGTGATATATATATTTTAAAAAATATCATTAGTAATATTTGGATTTTCTATTTCCAAAAATTCTTTGGATCAGATGTGTCACCCTCAGACTTCAAATCTGATGTTACCATTTTCTGTAGATCACAAAACTGATGACATTATAAGTAACAACTTGTTTAATTTTGTTGTTTGTTTGCTTTGTTGTTCAATTTTTAAAAGATGCTTGATCATCCTTTGTATCATGAAAGATTACTACTACAGCAATCTTTTGACAACAAAAATTACAATTCCATCTGATCTCCTCTTACTCACCTATGACAGAGTTTCAGGATTAAAAGATTTGCAGTTAAAAATTGACCAATTATTCCTCCAAAGGAAAAAAAGTTCATGTGACTTATTAGACAGCTGGGAAACATACAAAGAACAGTAATAAAAAAACCCTGCAATAAATAATCTCCTACCATAAAAGAAATCACATAAAAGAAATTACACAGAGAAGTACTTTTCTCCATGAATGAAAGGTGTGAAAAATTACTTAGTCTTTTAAAAAATATTTCAATGTCATGAATCAAACGAAATACGTTATCATATTCCTCTTCATATTTAAGGGAGAGTAAGTCCTATTGGGCCTAATGGGATTTATTTTGGAGTAAATAAGGTTTGTTTCTGAGTACACGACTGTTTCATTAGTTTTAGAAAATGATGATTCAGTGAACAGAATACGTATTATTTAAGTCTTGCAATGAATTAACCCTGGGGGGGGGGAGGAAATGAAGATTATTATTAATTTATTGCTAATCTTTTATATTTTGAAGAGAGCCATTTTATATTTACTGTTGTTTCACAAAGCACTATGATAAATCCTTAGTGTTTGGCAGAGAACTGGGAGTTCTCTGAACAGAACAGCTGGTTATGAAAGTGTTGGCAACTGTCATTTATCAACCTTTGTAAAGCCATATATCACACAGTATTCTAGAAATTTATGCCAGGGTTGAAGACTCTAAGACAGTGGTTCTCAAACTTTTTAATGCCGTGACCCCAACTGGTCGTAAGTCAAGGACTACCCAACCAGTCATAAATCGAGGACTTTCCATGCCCAGGAGCGCGGCACATGTGTGGTGCTGCCCCCTGCGCCGGCTGAGGCATAGCTGGCAAGGGGCAGCGACGGCACAGGGCAACCACCGGCTGGGCCACCAGCTGGCCCAGCCCAAGGGAAGTAAGGCACCCGCCGGGCCCCACGCACCAGCAACCCTCCCTGCACCCGCCAGCCTCCCACCTCCCACCCCTGGCCCTCTTTTACTTACATTTTTAGTAGTTGCTCAGCAGGGAGGGGTGGAAACTTCCAGACAGCTTGCCTTCACTGCAGACAACTTGCAGCATGTTTGCAGAATGGGACTTTTGGCGGGCTCAGCAGGGCAGAGACAGCCTGGACAATTCCTATTGGCTTTTGAAAGCCAATAGAATTAGACTCTATTCAAGAGAGTCTATTCTATTGGCTTTCAAAAGCCAATAGAATAAAAGGGAGTAGCACAGCTAAGGAAAAGGGGGAAAAATGGCGGACTGCGTTGTTTGGCGACGCCCATGAAATGGTCGTTCGACCCCAAATGGGGTCCCAACCCACAGGTTGAGAACCACTGCTATAATATATCATTGCACAGTCATCTCATCCGTGTTTTGCATGCAAAGAAAGAACATTTATATGTAATGTACTAGTTACTGAAGACTTCATACACATCCTGTTTGATTGAACACTATATTCTGTGGAAATGGCCACTTACTTAGAGTCTTATTTAAGAAGTAAAAATATTGGGACACCCAGAAGAAAATGTCTTACTTCTTCTACGGAATAAACTTGCATATTACTAGCAAGGTTGCAATTTTTATGTCAAAGATGATTCTGAAAAAGATAGACTGAGACTGATCTGAAAGTGATTTAACAGACTACAGGAATGATATGGAAAAAGATGCTACACTGGATGTACAAATGAAACTGGCTCATGTCTTAATAATTAAAAGGGTTAATCTGAAAGAGTGACCTGGATAACTTCCTTATATTGGATTCATAAGACACATTAAAATTTTAAAGAATTTTTATAAGAAAGTTCTAGGACATTATTTGACAGAATTAAAGATCAAGATTGTAGAAGGAAAAAAGTTAAAGTTGGTTTACTTAATTAAGCTTAAAATAGATATATTGTCATTTCTAGTAACTGAGTTTGCTGATCAGGACTGAATGATAAGGCTTTAAGGATCTGCTTATTGATAAGATATATGGGACAAAGAGACAATTTGTTATATTTTTAAGAGATGATACGTTACTACTTGTGATGAACAGGGTAGTCATTTCTTTATATATTTCTTTTCTTTACCATATCTTTATGTTTTCCTTTTCTGTTTTTCTGTTTTTTAATTTCTGCACTTTTTCCCCTCACTTTTATTTTCCTTAGTTTATTTTTTTTGCATCCTACTTTTATTATTTTTATAAACAACTCAAATGAATGAATGAATAAATGAACGAATGAATAAATAAATAAATTGGTGAACATATTCCTTGTTCCTCCTATTTTCCCCACAACAACAACTTTGTGAAGTGAGTTGGGTCAAGAGAGAGTACCTGACCAAATGCCTTAGGCCAGACTATAACTCATGATCTCCTGATTTTTAGACTGATCCTTAACCATTAGTTTTATCTTTTTAATGGTAACATTTAATAAAATTACTTTTAAAAAAAAAACAACGAAGAGGATAGAATTGCTAAAACAGAGCAGGGTTATCTGCTGGAATAACAGCAAATTTCTGGAAAGAGGAAAAAAAAACATTTTGAGTAACTTAAAGGTAGATTTTGGCATAACATTATTTCATTCCACCCCAAAGAAGGTATAACTAGAGCTATAGAAAAACTATTGTGCACAGTACCTAAGTACCTCCATAGGTGTTTTCCTATATTTTTTTTGTTTCCCATCAGCTATTTCTCAAAGGACCAAAAGATAGTCATTTCAAATAACAGATGCAGATTGTTCTTTTTATCTCTAGATATGTCTTACTTTGGGTATGTCCTGAAGATTCCAAGCTATTTCATGGAACAGACTTTTTTTTCTTCCTGATTCAGCAAACAGCACATTCTTTTCAAAAACCTCTTTTCATAGAAACCTCTTTTCATGAAAAAGTTTGTTCCAGGAAGATGGTGAAAAAGAAGAGCCAGTCATATCAATGCAAAAACATTTTTTCCTATCAGTTCTTGTTCGGTTTGGTGAATAAGAATGAACAAAAGGCTGTAGTAATAAAAGCAACATTGTCTCTTTAAAAAAAAAGGTTCCTCATAAATTAAGTCTGAAATTTTTGTCTCCGCCCATTTTCCAATCATGTAGTGGAATGCCCAGAGGCACTGAGCAGTCTAGAAATATGAAATTATATACTCTATAATAAAATAAATTAGTTCAGCAGGACATACATTTGTGAATACTTACATTCAGTTCTATTGCTATAATTTTTTCTTGTCTGTTTTGTTTTTAGTACTGTGGATATTACTCAGTGGTGCAGAATTATTCAAAGAAAGCAGATGGACTTCCAGAGGATTACCAACACAACTAAGCCTAAAGGTATCATTGTCTCACCCTCTACCCCCACCCCCCTCTGAAAATATCCGAGCTCTTCCAGAGTTCCAAAAATAGAAAACAGCTTTAGGATTGTTCTGCAGCTGATCAGGATCTTGGGAATGGGGGAGATGGATGACAGTTTTGAGACCGATAACAGTTGGAAGATCTCTATGGGAAAACACCTCTAAGGAAAGAAAAAGCTCTTGCAGGTGAAGCTTTTTTTCCTGTGGGCATCTCAAAACGATTTATGTAATTCAGTTGTGGATTTTATTAAAAAAATTAGATTAATTTAGATTAATAGACGATAACACAAAGATGTTCTCTTGGCATCTGAACATTCAGCTGCAGAATTTTATCCTAGTTGAGGCTGATTTGACCTGAAACTTTCAAACTTTCTATAAAAGCTTATCATTTTCCAAGAGTTTGAATCCCTTTATTAATACTTTAGTAAGGAGAATCCTGAGGAATCCTGAAAAGTAGCACAAACTATGAGATGAGTCATAAGGCAACCAGGAAGCTTGATGATTAATGAATTGATAATTGATGATTTAAAGTAAGTTCAAACTTATGTACTTTAAATATTAACTAAACTATCTCTGAAAAAAGAACATTTGCCCTGACTTTAAAAAAAAATGAAAATTCTACAAATAGCTTCTGTGTTGTAATTATCTCAGGTATGTTTTTTCTTCTAATTCTTCTTGACTTTTTGGTCTTCTTCTTCCTTGCCTTCAAAAAAGAAGAACTATAGCGTGTTGCAGTGGGCTTTTCAACCAGTGTACAGGTACCATCTGTGGTACATTGGCACCTGGCAGGTGGTACGCGACCATCCTATAAAAGTGATAGCGGGGGAGGGGAATGAGCTCCGCTGGACAGGCAGACAGGTGTCTTGCTCGGCTGTGCCTTGGGGGCACTTTTTAGTGCTGTTGTAACTTCGAATACTCACTAAGAGAACTGTTGTAAGTTGAGGACTACCAGTACTTCATCGCTTTTTTCCTTTTTTTGGTCAAGTTTTTGACACCTTGCTAGGCAACTGGTGGTATTCAGATATTGCCATATCCTAAAAGTGGTACAATGGGTGAAAAGCCCTGGTCTAAATGAGAGATAACAAGGACATGAGTTACTGCAGGGGTCTTCAAACCTGGCCCTTTTATGGCTTATGGACTTAAGGAGGTCAACTCCCAGAATTCCTTAGCCAGTGTGCCAAGTTTAAAGATCCCTGAGGTACTGTGAGAAGGACTTAGCTAACATTAGTCAATATAGAAAAGCTAATCAGTTGGTACTCAGATGACAAATCATCCCAGAACATAATGAGAAAGTAAAGACAGATAAATCAGAAGACAATACCATATGACTATATTAGTGGAGTTCTAGTACAACAGTCCCTGCAGGGAAGATTATGGATCCAAACTTGGGAAGATGCAAGAATTTGAATTTTAGATAATTTGTATTATTCCTTATGAGCAGCGCATTTAGTTCAAGCCCAGATAAAATGGTTGTGCACTGCAGCAACAAGGGAGAGGAGGTGTGTTCCTTCGACAACACATACTAGTCCATTGTTTATACTCAGTGAAATGTAGCAGACAAACGAGTTGTCATCCCTTCTTCTATCAGAGGGGAAAAACACTAATTCTGAGATAAAGTAAGAAAACATTGCAGAGGTTCACCTTAGTTCCTGGAGCAAGGCAAATGCACTCCAACATTCCTGCACTTCAGAACTGGTGGATGAATCATGCTGAACCAAACAGGTTCAGATAATTGTGAATGCATCATTTCAAAAGGAAAATAGTGAAGGAGGTTTGGTAAAGCATGGAGACCAAAAGTTCAGTAGAGCATGAGCATAGGAACAAAGTTAAATGAGGTCGGATGAGAGACAAAGCCATAGGTTGCACACAAATGAGTGGGAAATATTTGCTAGGCTTTTAAAACTGCAAGAATGTTTAAGGCATGCAAGTTGAAGGAGGTAGGAACATGTTAAAGTAATAGGCTTGGATGTCAAAATAATAAGGTAGGACTGGTTTTGCTTGTGTGCCTCTCAATTTTTCCCCCCAAAGAAAAAAAAACTCTCACACATTCTAAAGAAAGCATTGTGTTTTATTATTGGTAGACTTGATTATATAATTTGGGGAATGAAAACATTGGGGTTTGGTCCTTTGTTTGTGTTAAACACAGAAAAGAAAAGGTGGAGATATAGAACAAAGGAAAGCATAGAAGACATGTTCAGTCTTTTCTTTGAATGCCATAAAGTCAGGTTAAAAAAAGAGCTATTCTAAAATAGTTATGCAATTTAGTGCTTGCATGATGACATCATTTTAATCTGTGTTATTACTATGGGGTTTATACTTCACCTCCACTTTGTAATGATTTATTCTCTATTTTGTTCAGTTTATTTCTAATGAAATTAAAATTTCACCTGAACATGGATAGATTGGCAGAGGTTTCAATCTACAAAAGCATGTGAGGTGAAATCTGTACTTGTGTTTAGGAAACCTGATATTTAAGTTGTTTTTCCTTTGTGGATATTAAATAAGTATCTGTGTCACAAAGCAAATCAGCATATTACACATTTGCAGTCACACTGAATATCGTTTCTTAAAACATTGTTTAAAAAGTAAATATTGTTTCAGAGAAAAGCACCATCAAATAACAGTAAAGTTAAGCAGAACATTTCACATCTCTTATCAATATATTTTTTCCTTCCGAATCACCATTGGCATCATGTATGCCTGCTGAAAGTACTAGAAAAAGGGGTCCACCAAAGTCTCATTGATTGATTTTTAAGCTGAAATTCAGCTCAAATCAAATACCATTCACTTTACCAAATGCCCTTTCAAATTAAAGAAACCATGACATTTTTGTATGTCTTGTAGCTGTGCTATGAGTGGTTATTATTTTTAGTAACATCAGGCCAAAGAGAAGAAGATTAAATCTCTTTCACCCATGCAGATAGAGGTGTGTGGATTTGTACAAGTACACTATGAAGCTCCAACAATTCTTATGGTTTTCAGTATAGCTGTAAATTAGGCAAAGGTATTATGAAGAAGTACAGCACCCTAAAAATAACTATATTCATTTAGAAATTGTAAATGTTGCTATATAGTTTCATGGGATGTGGAATCCTTCAGTTAAGGGTGTTTAATTAAATAATTATAATTCATTGTAATAGAGACCTCAGTTGTCTGAATTCTGATCAGACTGGAAGTCATACACATCAACAAATAACAGATTATTCAGGAGACTCCTGAGGTGCACATGGACAAGAAAATGTATGTAACCTACCCACAAGTTTATGTTCAAGGAAAAAGTTTAAAAAATACAGTCACATACAAATAACTAATATTTCAGGAACCAATTAGTTTAAAAGCCTTCTTTGAACCTACAGAAACCAAGATAGGAGAAAAAAGAATCAAAGTGTAAAGAAACCAGAAATATAGACAATAACTCATTTCTCCTGTGATGTATAGAAAACCTGGTCCTGATGTTTACTATTTATTTATTTACATTAAATTTATTATGGCTGCTTACTCCAATAGATTGCATGTTTCTTATATGACATAGAACTTGGTAGAGGGTCTATGGTCTTTCTGCTAGCCTTGAGTCTTCTCAAACCAAGTTGTGCATAATAATAAGGCTGAGCAAGAGAAAAGTGGGGCCAGCATGCCTTGCTCTGTTTTCTCTGCCCATGGACCTAATCTCATAATAGATTGTACATACAGCATCTGCAAGTCTACGAATCACATTTATGGCTGAAGGTAGGAAAAAAATAGTTGAAATCATAAGTCAAAGAAAGAAAATAAAAATCTGGAGATGAGAAGGAAGGCACCTGCTCCAACTCTAAGAAAATAATCATTATAATATAATCAAAGCCATCAATTTTTTAAGACTATGTAGCAAAGCAGATAAAAAGTGTCAGAGGAAGAAGAAAAATACATTAGCTGTTTTATTTTTGATCCTAAAATTCTGTATTCCTGTTTGAGGTTACCTTTTAGGGCAGTTACTGTAACCTTTAAGCACAGCAGTTAATCATCTAAGGTCTTCTACCTGCTACTCAAACATTGGTATGGTAATTTTTAAAAAGATGCTTATTCTTGTGCTACTTTCCCAGATGGGCTGGCCCATTCAGAACCTCACCAACAGAAATCCAAACATATTTCTACTTTACATGGAGAATGTGAAGAGAAAGAAAAAAAAATCTGCTTTTCAAAACTTCGAAACAAATTTTTCAAACATATATGGCTCAGGTAATGCTAACATTTATTTGAAAATGCATGTTTCAATTTGTGTGTTTTGCGATTTTTCAGTTTGTGTGTTGGAAAGGAAAACTGTTGACATGTATAGGGAAATTTTGATGGTTTTGTTCTTATCTAAAGAGAATAAAGTTTTGTTGCATTACTTTATTTATTTTCTTAATATCTGCATGGTATCACTTTCAGTAGAATTGTTTGTTCATCAGATCTGTTGACTCACGACTCTTAGGAAATGGCTTAACACTTTAAATTTAACAGGTTTATTTAGGAAAGTTTGGAAAGATGGTTTAACTGTTTATAAAGCAAAGAAACAAGTGAAAGAACTAGGAAAACTTGTTTTTTCTATCCAATTGGGGAAGTACAATTATGAAGGAATCCTCCAGCTGTGTAGCAATTCTTTGTTTCACTTCCATCATTACTTTCTTCCTAAATTCTACTTTTTACAAAAATGTTATTTTATCCCGGGCTGTTTCCTTAGATTTGTTGCCAGCTTGGAATGGTGAGGAAAGCACCAAACATTTTCTTCATGAAGTGGTGGATATTATCTTCAGCTATATCAAAAAGGCCATTGACAGAAAGAGCAAAGTGCTTGATTTCCACCATCCACATCAGCTTCTGGAAGGGCTAGAAGGCTTCAATTTGGAACTCTCTGATCACCCTGAGCCTTTGGAGCAAATTCTTGTAGATTGTAGGGACACCTTGAAATATGGTGTTAAAACAGGTAACTTATTGTAATAATGTGATTTTGCAGCACTGTTTTATGAAATCCACCAGATGTTCCAATATCTGTTCATCATCTAAATGAAACTTCCACTTTTAAAGGAAAAATGCTTCCAAACACAGGTAGTCTTCACTTATTGACCAATTGTTGGTTCTTTGTATACTATTATGTTTATTCATGTAATAAGCTACTGATTTTTTTTTTTTTTTTGAAACTCCACTTCAGGGTAGTTTGTACACTTGTCTGTTTGCATGTTGGAGAAACATATGACAAAAACTTTGCATGTAAAGTTTTATTTAAAATTACAGTCCTTCACTCTTAAATTAAAAAGAGGGAAGAGCAGCACAAAAATCTCCTCCAGATGTGATTTTTTTTCATGTGACCTGTTGCCTTTGGTAGAAGGAAGCAAACATAGCTTATCCGATTGAGTGACTAATAGCCATAGGAAGCTGTTGTCTGTATGGAAAAGGTATTAGGTATTTAAATAGATTTGAAATTTATATCTGTAACAAAGTCTCACTTATTTTCACAAAGCACACACAAATTTTGAGAAAATTCAGGGAGAAGGGTGAAAGATGAGGAAAGATTAGGAAATGCAAACAAACAAACACATTAAGAGCTTCAAGTGCTGTAGGGGAAGAGAAACAGAGCAAGAGTGAAGCCAAGACAGGAAGAATGGGACTTCTCAGAACTAAACACAAAGTCCCCTTGTTGCCCCAGAAAACTGGTTCTTCCCGGAGTGCGATGCCCAATAAACCTCATACCAAAGTGGAGATTTAGAAAACGTTTATTCTGAGCAGAAGAAATGACACAGGGGGATCATTCCCACCAGGCCTGTGTCAAGGCCACTCCTGCTATAGGACAGTTTTTATAGATGCTTCTCCATAAACCCATCTTAAGCCAATACCTCACAAATTATCCTATGACTTTATCAAGGTTTGTTAATATTGCTTAGCTTGCATTTGCAATGTCTAGCAGTCACCAGCACATTTGCCCCTATTTTCCAGTGACAAGTGATACATTGTGTTATAATTAGTACACTACACCACCCTCTCCCCAAGTTCCACTTTTCTAAAGCCGTTGCCTTTGACATACCTGTAAAAGTTATATATATGCAATAGTGGAGAATATTTGTAGCTCAAGTGTAGCATGAGGATGAAGGTTCGTTCTCTGAGCTTGGAGGTTGGTTTCCGAACGTTTCATCATCAAGCTAGGTAAGATGTTACAAAATGTTTGGAAACCAACCCACAAGCTCAGATAACAAAACCTATGTTTCCTATTCTTGTGACCCTCAGGTTTCTTATGCATGCAATTGCATTGTTCCACCATGGGCAAGCGTGTTCTGAGGATTTTACTAGCTAAGCTAATTTCATTACTTCTCATGCACCAGCCAATGTCTGCAAATATCAATTCTCTTTAGAGACTATAATTTTAGGGAAGGCGGGTCTTTTGCCTTTTCTTCACCCTGATGCTAGATTTTATGATTTTAAGCTTTTCTGATGCAGACTTTTAAAATATAAATCTCCATAGCACAAACTTTCATGGACTATATCATTTTTTACACTATTCTTTCTCGGATGCATCTCTCAGAAGTGTCTTTTGTAATGCAAATTTTTGAGGAGACTTTTGCTCTTTGTTCACTGCTGTGCCATGAATGTTTTGATGGATATTATAGTCCCATAAAAATGTGAATTCTTTTTATATATAAAACATCTAGGCACATGGGCTAAATGCTTTTTTACACTATCTTCCAACTACCTGTGGATGGTTTATTGAAACAGTTAGAGTGAATTAAAATAATGTATTTCTAACATTTGTATTTTTAAGCACATCCCCGTTATTTCAACCAACTCTCCAGTGGCCTTGACATTATAGGACTTGTTGGAGAATGGCTGACAGCTACTGCAAATACAAACATGTATGTACTATAATCTCAGTTTTATATATCATTAATCTGACAATAAATAATATTTCAGCAGAATAGTAAGTTGCTCTTTAAGAATGAAAAGACTGTTTGAGCTCCAACAAATGAAGGACTTTATTAATACAAATATGCTCCCTTTCTTAACAAAAAGAACATGCATCTGGAGTTTGGACTATCATTTTGAAAGGTCTTCAAATTACCATTCCCCAAAGACTATTTCCCTTTTTTAGGGGGGAATAAGAAGCATGAATGGCACAGTCCACTAAGTTCTTGGGACTTGGGGAGCTTAGTAAATCCTAGGTTTACCCAAATGTATTAAGGAAAATCTGATTGACATTTTAAATGATAACTGCTTGATACTTTATGTCTAATAGGCTGGCTGGATCATGTGCAATAAGTAATACATACCAATAAAAGCCACTTCTTAGAAGTAGTATACTGCTCAGTTCTTTAAAAAGTTCTTTTTTCTGTTGATCCAGAAGCAAAACCCTTATGTGTGTTGACAGTTTTGTAGTCTCATTAGTAAAACAGGTAGATCTCAACTTATGACCACAATTGAGGCCAAAGTTTCTGCTGTCAAGTGAGACATTTGTTTAGTGAGCTTTGCCCCCATTTTACAATCTTTCTTCCTTTAGTTGTTAATCACTGCAGTTGATAAGTTAGTAACATGGTTCTTAAGTGAATCTGGCTTCCACATTTACTTTGCTTATCAGAACGTCGCAAAAGGGGATCACATGACTTTGAGACACAGCAATGGTCATAAATACGAACCAATTGACAAGCACCTGAATTTTGACCCCATGATCATGGGGATGCTGCACAAGTTGTAACTGTGAAAAACGGCCACTTTTTTTAGTGCCGTTGTAACTTTGAACGGTCATTAAATCAACTGTTGCAAATCGAGGATTACCTGCACTTTCTCAACCATTTTTTTTGTTTTATTCAAGAGAAACAAATATAATTTGGCATTTGTTGTTGAAAATAAACTTTAGTACTCAAGTAATATTACCAATATTAACAGTTCCTGCAGGATATAGAAGAGGGGAGTGCTTCTGCTCAACACAAAAAGATTGAAATACTTTTAACTCATGCTTCAGTCACATGTGTAACATTCTGAGCATCAGAATTCATCTCCAGGGTAAAATTTTAACAAGATGGCCATTGTGTAAAAAACGTGGAAAAAAACTGTTGGAAAAAGTTCACGGGAGTCAATAGGAAGGTTATTGAGAACTTCAGATACAAACAGAATTAATGGTCATGGTAAATTATACAAAATGTCAGCAAAGAACTTTGAAAAATGGTTATGGTGTATTCTTTTTCAATTCACTCACTCCTTCGCGTCAGATATTTGTCCTTACTCCTAACTGTTTCTGGATTTTATGGAGCACCACAACATTCCCAATCTTTACTTATGGAACATATTTTGAGTAGATCACTATGCATCTTTCTGGCCTTGACCTCTACATTCAGGACTTACATTTGATACAGTGGTATTTACTTTAAGGGATGAAAATGGGAAATACTGCTATTTATGGAATCTGTTATTTATGGAATCTGTAACTCTATAAGAATTGTTCATTCAGTCCTTTTTGTTGAAGACCTTCAAAAGTGGAGTGATGTTGGTTTAAAATCATTAAAATGTGAAGCATACTAATTGTAAAAAGTTAATAACCAAAACTGTGACTAAAAACATTTAAAAGCTTGGAATCATAAACTATGAAGATAACAGAGCACAAGTCTGGCAAATAAAAGGTAGCATTCTGATCTAAAGAAAAAGGAATTGGATTTGGCCTCAAAACCTGTTTGGTCCTGCTTCTTTTCTGCCTCTATGTTTGGATTGTGGTTTATATCGCCACACTTCCACCCTCTCACCACCAGTGAGCTGAGACTAGGGAATGATGGGGTTGATAAAACCAGGTTAGGAACCAGGTTAGTTAAAGAATACTGACTTTATAAATGCTTTTCTATTTATTATTGGCCATCTAAAGAACAGAACACCCAAACACAATTAAATACAAGCTAGTATAACTTACCTAACTACAACCAGTGTCTACGTATCACCAAAGGCTTACCCATACACATCATTGTCTTTAAAAATCTAATTTACAAGCATTAAACATTCACATTCAATGGTAATATATACCAGAAAGGTTCGTCAATTACTAGATTATAATACAATTTAAAATAACATGAGAAAAATAGTATATTATGATTAGTAATTCAAGAAGAGTTGGATATAATTTCCTTAACATTTCAGATAATGCTGGAGCATGCTTAGCAATTAATTAGAAAATGCAAATGGATAATTAGAAAAACACTTGAGAAAAGGAGGAGTGACTCTAGGAATTTTGAATGGTTATTCTAAATTTAGTTTCACATCAGTAGTCACAAGAACTTGCAAGTATTGTGGGCCCAATTGTCAAAAGAAAGCTCAGGACTGTATAGGTTGGAAACATGCAGAAGAGACCTTCATCCTGCAGTGAATAGACAATGGCTAAAATGATGAAGTACTTGCCGAAGGTCGTATCCAGTGCTATATTCAGTTACTTCTTAGGTGAACCCTTGTGATAAAATGCATGCACACATCAGTCTAGATATGTTTCTATAGCTTCTTTTGCATGTATAGCTACTGGATTCTGTGCACAGATCTTTTCTGCACGAACCAGATGGAATTCGGCATCACTGTCTTGTTTTTATCTTTGTCAAGCAATTTGGATATGCTTTTGCTTTTCTGACTGTGTTATGTTGATTACATTAAAAATATGTTAACAGGTTTACGTACGAAATAGCACCAGTATTCATCATAATGGAGGAGATCCTGCTGAAGAAAATGCAGGAAATTATCGGATGGGAAGAAAGCGAATCAGATGGCATATTTTCCCCAGGTAAGTAGATTAAAAATATTAAGTGTTATTCAGATTATGCAACCAATGAAGTCTGCTGACATTTCAAATAGTGAGTTCTGGTCTCACCCTAGGTATATAAGACCGCTGAATGACTTTGGGCCAGCCACTCTCTCTTAGCCCAACTCACCTCACAGAGTTCTGATTGTGGGGAAAATAGGGGTAGGAGAGAGTATTAGGTATGTTCGCCATCTTGAGTTGTTTATAAAAATAATAACAGTGGGAATATATGTACATACTGTACATACATAAAAATAATATATTTTCCTCTTTCTCAATATTTTCTCCCTTCCTTAAAATGAATACATAAATGGCAAAACCATTGCTTTAACTGGGTTTTAATAAGAACCTACAAAGAAAAATGTCATCCTTAATCATCCTGTTCTACTTTCTGTCCTCAACTATTTTTGTGGCACCCAAAGCTTTATAACAATGCTGCAAATCACCAGTAGATGAGAGATGATAACGATTTTCACTGATCGATGAAGTTGGACCATACCAGACTGAAAAAAGGATAAGCCTTTTGAGTATCATAGAAGGTTGTGGAATTCAGCACGTTGGGATCAACGCAACATCATTTTTAACACTGAAAAATTATGTTGTATCCTGGTGGATAAGAATGTAATTAGGTTAGTTGTACTTACATAGCAAGCTTTTCATGGCTTTTCTACACAGACCTTCCTTGGCATTGAAAAATATCCTGAATAGAAATAAACTGCCTCTAGAAAATTGGAATTGAGAACATTACCTGTGTGGATGCTCCATATTCATTACATGGAATATCTTAAATTAATCTGATTTGGTATCTGAAATTTGTCTGTTTGACTTGAAATGATGAGATGAAACATTAATTCCCAATGACACTCAGCTATTCAAATGGTAATAAAATGTATTTTTTTTTTAACCAGGGGGAAGCATATCAAACCTCTACAGTGTTTTAGTTGCTCGCTATAAATACTACCCTGAGATTAAAACCAAAGGCATGGCAGCCCTTCCAGAGATCATAATGTTCATTTCTGAACACGTGAGTATTTACGTGTGCAATCACACCTGTTTAGAATTATTTGACTATGGCAATTATCTTAATAATACATGTTTGTTGAGTGAATTGTCAGTATGACGGAATGCCAGAAGAATGTAGACCCATTACAGAAAAGCTATCTGAGACATGGGAAAGTAGAAACCATAAGAAAGAAACTCAAAACAAGTCCACTTTCATTGTATTAACTATAAATTAGAACAGAGGAGGGCTTTAATAGGCTTTCAAAATTCTGTTACAACGCCCAAACACATTAAAGTACATTTCAAGACTCTTAATGAATCCTTTTTTTCTGACTTTACCTACCTCAAGGACTGACATTCAACAACTCTCAATTCCATTCTCCCTAATTTTAGCAATTGATTACTTACCAGGAAGAAAGTTACCTTGTCAAAAGGGAGGAAAATGAATTTTTAATGTATAATTCATGGCTAGTTGTAGAGATGAGAAAGTGTTGCTTTCTGATAGCAATAATGTAAGTTTGTGCATTGTGAATTATTCCTGTCATGACAGCCACAAGAGATGTTGTGCAAGACCCAGAGCAAAGTCAATGACTGGTAGCTACCAATAACACATTAATCTTTCAGCCTAGGAACAATTATTACTGTTGCAGTCATCCCTGCTTCATGTTGCTGGTGCAATGTGATTTTTGTGTCAACCTAATGTTGTTATATCCAATATGGCAACTGCCTCTAGGTATGTTGTTATAGCAATAGAAAGAGCACTTAGACATATATACTGCTTTACAATGCTTTATAACCCTCTCTAAGTGGTTTACAGTGTCAGCATATTGCCCCAACAATCTGGGTCCTCATTTTACTGACCTTGGAAGGATGGAAGAATGAGTCAACCTTGACCCAGTGAGAATCGAATTCCTGACACTTATTCTATAAGTATTGTTATTATGTATTAAAGATATAATTGGAAGAACTGAAAAAATTCTCTGAGTAACAGAACTCCCAAAGACTTGCCTAATATAAATTCCAATGTGCATAAAATGTGACTCACTTTAAGTAATGTCACTATCTTAGGAAGATGACTAGCCTAAGCAGTTATAAATTAATAAACCGTAAATCAAAGAATTATGAACTTTGATTATATTTTCCTCATTGATCACAACTGTACTGTATTATAGATTATATTATGGAGATAGTTTGACTGTAGTTTAGACAAGGCACACTTAGTTGGTAATTTCACTTATGAGATAAGCTTTCATAGAAATAATTTAGCATATTTTCTTGTTATTTCTTTCATCCTCCCTATGCTAACAAGGTAACTTTCTCAAAACAGATTATTTAGGTTACTGGCTATTTTTCTGCATACTGCTCCATAATTATATTAAATTTACAGTACTGAGAAAGAGGGAGGAAGCACTTCCATCAGTAAAAACCCAGAAAAGAAGTAAATTGTACTATGGCTATTGTTAACTCTCTCAAAAAAATACTTTGAAATCTTTTCTGCTTAGAGATATTTAGTTCCCTGATCACCCACAAACACTCTTGAGTATTGTGAAAGTCATCTGCTGCCTCCTCTTATAACTATATCATCACCATTAAGTCTTAATTTGTTTCTTAACTTATTTATACATACCTACTCAAAGGTTCCTCTAATTTAATTAAATGGGGTTTACTCCCAGATACAAGGATTGTTAAAACTGAACTGTAGTCCCACTAATGTTAGCAGACCAGTCGCGGTTTTAAACTTAGGGTTACCGCCCTTCATTTTTTCTTAAGACAAGAGCGATTATAAAATTGTTTATCTCTAATGCACTTTGTAAAATCTTCTTTTCTCTATTTGACGTTTTTCTCTACTAAATTATTTCAGAGTCACTATTCTATTAAAAAGGCAGCAGCAGTTGTTGGAATTGGCATGGATAATGTTATTGCTATCAAATGTGATGAAAGGTAAAGTTCTCAAAGTTTTCCTGCATAATATCAATATTTACAAGTCACTTCCTCTGAGGTTCTTTGCTAAAGATGTATTTCATCTTTCAGCTTCATTATTTTCACAAAATGTGCCCCCGTCCCCCAGTAGGTTAAATCTCCCTGAGCAAATAACTTAGTTGTCAATTATTTGGTAAACCTTTCACAAACAATGAGAAACAGAGCAGGATAGATTATTTCAGTTATTGCCTCCAGACAATTTTTCCTCCAGCATTGTATCAATCTGCCATGAAGTCAAGGAATTCTTGTAAAATGTATCAATTAATTTCTCATAAATAATACATCAACTGAAACTAGGTCTATTGTCCCCATCGGTGCCATCAAGACTGCTGAAGTTAGTTCTCTTGTTAGCGGGGGGGGGGGGAATGGCTGTTTGTATAAGGATATCTAGAACATCAATACATTTAATGAAAGAGTCAATTAGAAAATGAATGATGTTTTAACAAAGAATGTTAGTATAATTAAAAACAATAAAGGACTTTTTTTTTCAAACTTCTACTGCAAATCCAAGTCTACTTTCTCACTTTCTCATTCTATTAATTTATTTTGTTTGCTGAGAGAGAAAAAAAAGGATAAGGACTTCATTGATATCCTTCATCATTTCTTGGAGACAGAAAAGGAGATTTCCCTGGTTTTATAACTTCTATTGTGTCTTTATTTCCTATGCTCAAAGTTTTCTACATATTCAAAAGTCAAGGTCTACTATTGGTAGACACTTCTGCATCTAATTTTTAATGTAGTCTCCCCCTCCAAGTGGGTTTCAATGAGCGATGGAATATTATTCTACAGTACTGAGGAAGTTCACCACATATCATGAAGAAAATGAACAATGGAGAAATTAGACCAGGAATGTCAAACTGGCGGCCCACGGGCAGAATGCATCACACACAGACCACGCCTACCCTGATGCCACAAAGGCAAAAAATGTCATGATACATCACGATACATCACATGGTGCAATAGAGGTTGACACCCATGAATTAGACCTACAAGTTCTACCCTGTCCTCTTCATTTGATTATGTGTATATGTGTTTGTAGATGTGTCCATGTTCAAAATGATTGAATGGAACTTGAGTTCTATTTGTGAATGGTTTTGCGTGGAAAAGGAAGTTTTTTTACACTTTTGGAAATTCGGGCATGCCATCTTTATTAACCACTAAAATTCTTTTTTAAAAAAACCATCTTAACAGAGGGAAAATGATTCCATCTGAACTGGAGAAAAATATTACCAAAGTCAAGAAACAGGTTTGTTGGTTTGTTTTCTTATTGTGTTGGTTTTATGCTTGATGGCATTTTCATTAATTTGAAAAAGTAAGCTACTTCCCTTCCAAGATTCATGTCCCAAGAAACTTGTAAACTCTTTCAGTCTTTACTCCCGTGACTATTCCTCTGCAACATAAATTGGTTGATAACTTTGAATTATCATGCTAATGGCAATTTGACTTCAGTGGGATATCTAGAAATATGTAGAATAGTTTTATTTTATTTTATTTTGGGTTTTTTTCCAAAAGGGAAAAGACAAAAAAGTGAGCAGATAGAAACAATGGCCATTGCTCATCCTTGCTTTTAGTGTAGTCATCCATCACCAAAAAGAGCAGGTTAATGAGATGGTGGTTTTAAAAGGCCATAAGAATTGTCTACTTCCTCACATTTCAGTTACACCCCAGGGGAAGATATCATAAGGAAAATCGTCCTTTAGACTCTTCTTAGATTAGAATATGCTGGCATTGGGCAGGCTGCAAAGATTTGTAATAGAAAAGCAGTGGGTAGGAAGGCTGGTTTATAGAAATAGCATCCTTGGTCACTTTGTATAGTAAGCTCAACCATAATACTGTAGAGGTACAACTGCCTCCAATAATTTTAATATCAGTTTTCTTAAAAAAACAAAGCAAAACATTTTCGAACTTAGCTGTTTACTCTGTTTTATTGTATTTTTACTGTCTTCAGAACACTTGTTCAAATTTTGTTGGACTGCATGCAGTTGTTATGTTGTTATGTGTTTATCTCAAGCTTACTGTGCGTGATTCTGAAACTACTTGGGAAAAGGTGGTTTATAAATATATTAATAAAAAATAAAATGAATTCAAGAACAATTCAAGATTTTTCTCATAAAAATCTTTAGGATGCATCGACTCATCATTTTTTTAAAAAAATTCTAATAATGTCAATGAAACACAGTAGTATTTTAATAATTATATGGGGGCTTAGAACAGGGGTATCAAACTGATGCCAGATGCATCATGCTGAAACCGTACCCACCCCAGCTCTGACAATGGGGAAGAAGTTGTGATATATCACAACACCTCACATAACGTGGTGAGTTTGACACCCCTGGCTTAAAAGGTAAACGGGACTTGGACAGAGTTGTACTTGGAAAGTTGTACTTTTTATTATTGGCTGAAAAGAGAATACGGTTAAAAGATAGTTAACATCAATTTAGATGGAAGAAGAAGGAGCAGATAAGGAGGAGACCCAGGCGACACAGTATTGAATAACTGGAGGTTGTATAAATATTTATAGAAGTATATACCGAGAAGGTTATATAAATAGAAGTATTAATGTAAGAGAAAATTAATCTTATTGTATATAATACAGATAGGGAAATTTGGAGAGAGGAGTTGCTCAGATATTACCCCCGAATTGTATCTGAAGAGGGATGAGAGGGAAGAAAGGAGAGGAGAGAGAAAAGAGGAAAGGAGGGGAGAAGGAAGTAGGAAGGTTGAAGAGGAGAAGTGGGGAGAAAGGGGAGAAGAGTGGTGAAGGAAAGAGAAGAGAGGAAGAAGAGGGAAGTAAGGAAGAGAAGAAAGGGAGAAAGAAGGTAGAGAAGAAGGAGTGTGGATACAGTGAAAGGGAAAATGGGCGAGCAACACCAAAAGTCATGTGTATGTATTTATTTCATTTTATTAAGAGTATCTTATATATGAATGTAAAAAGAATGTATGTTAACATCTAATAAATATCATGGTATATGTATGGGGGAGAGTTTGGAAAAATAAAAAAAATATTTTTTAAAAAAAGTTGTACTTGGAAAAGAAGTGTTAGACTGAGAATCATCCCAGAAAGCAAGAGTGAAAAGCCACTTCATTTTGTTGTCAATATTATCATGAAGTCCCCAGAAATCAGTCTTCACTTGAGGATGTTACAAGATATGCTTTGTTTGGTTGAAAGAAGGTGTTTTATTTTATTTTTTAATTGATGCAATATTACTATATGGTGTAGCTAATGAGGAAGGTGTTTAAAGTTGTTAGAGTTTAAAGCACCCAAGTTGTTACATGCAATACATGGATTGATCTCTTCTGAGCTAAAACATCCTAGCTATACGGTACCACCACATCCAAAATGGAAATATGTTTTAATTATAAGAATGATTACAACAGAGGACAGATTGTATGTGCTTTAATATAGGTTGTTGTATTCTTTTCAGGGGAAAATACCATTGTACGTTAGTGCCACAGCTGGGACAACAGTCTGTGGAGCTTTTGATCCTCTCATCAACATTGCTGACATTTGTGAAAAATACAATCTTTGGATGCATGTGGATGTAAGATCCTTGTTTTCACACTCAATGCTACAAAAAACTAGTGGTGAGACGGAAGCTGAGCTGCTGTATAAGCTGTCCCCTCACAAATATACATTCCCAATTTCTTCACTATGCAGGATCAACTTGAAGCAGCTTACAAACCAGTTTTATGAATCTAGAAAAAAATATTTATTTATTAAATTTATATGCTGCCCATCTCACCATCCAAATGACTCTGAATGGCTTTAATGGTTTGAGGAGAGGTTGTTTCTTTCTGTGGATATTGCAAACTCTAGTTTCTTTTCAGATTGTATAAAACCTATTTGATAGATTTATACAGCCCTATTAAATATATACATGCAAGAGCGATGTGGATAAATAACAGTAATTTAGGCAATTTAAAATGCAGTGAATTGGTTGGAGTCTTATAAAATTGATTTAAAATTGCATATGATCAGCAGAGATAACCATGAAAAATGTTACTTTCTTTCAAGGAGAGAAAGGTCATTGTCACCCTTAAGATTATGCTCTTAATGTAAACATAGGTAAGAATAAAATCTTGAATAACACCCTGAGCCAGAATACAACTAATGGGATGTTGCAGTAGGTTGTTATTTGACTTCAGTAATTTCCTTCCTATGACTAAATCATATTATTCAGTACATAATATGACATACTTTACAGCAATACTTTGTGTTGACTCCTGGCAATTGCCTTGACTGCAGAAGTTAAAAGACTCAATCTCACAAAGATGATTTTGTGCCTAAGGATTTGAACTCATTGACTCCTGATAAAATGGTGATTAGTATATACTGGAAGTGACAAAAAAGAAAAACAGAAAAAGTATCTACATAATAACTACAGTAACAATATAAAATTAATTCAATCCTTAAGCTTATCATCAGATAACAAACTCATATCCTGGATTCTGTCCTTAAAATCAGACAGTCAGTTGCCTCAACAGAACCAAAGCTCCTCATGAAACGACAAACTTCATATTTTAGAAATATAATTAAACCTTGCATGGTTCCTTAATTATAATATTTCTTCCCATGTGTTTTGACATATGCAGTGATAAAACCAAAACAAGGCTATAATTGGAAAGACCAGGTCATATGAATTAAGAAACCTTCAAATCGTTTACAATGCCCACCTAAAAGAAAAAAAATCTAATGATCCTTCTTTGAGTGTCCAATAAACATGAAATAATATTTTGTGATTAGTCAATTTCAAGTTTAAATGGTAAGATGTATATTCACATTACTTTACACTTGGTCTCATTGATTCCCCAAAATTGGATATTCTAGTTTGTCCTTCCACTATTGAAGTATATAACTATTACTAATACAATAACTTTTATTTTAAATTCCTTATAAAACAGAATTCTTGTTTTTCATTCAAGTGCTGTCTCTCTCACAGAAGAGAACAGAAATGAGTACTCTGTGTTCTATTAAGTAAAAAGCAAAAAATAAATAAATAAAATAAAATCAGACCATCAGGTTTTTCTCTTTTCTCTGTTTTCTCATTTTGAAATTTAGCTTCTCTTTTCCCTTATATTTTAGAAAGGCCAGTGTAGTAAGTATGGCTGGCAAAATGTGATAAAAGGTGGAATCTTTTCATTTAGATAACTGTGTGTTTAATTTCAATAGGCATCATGGGGAGGTGGTTTACTATTGTCAAGAAAGCATTCCCATAAGTTGAACGGCATTGAAAGGTAAGCATCTTGTGATATAATTTATTTGTACAACAGTGAGATGAATATCTTAGTTATGTTTTTTTGTAACCTCTTGCTGAAGAATAAATAAAGAATATCATTTTTTATAAATAAAGAATATAATTACAATGATAATGACTTATGAACAACCAAAGTGAACTGTGTTATGAGAAGCAGAAGGGGAAAAATATATTCCTACAACCTGCTCATCAGTTGAAAGAGGAAGAGATATAGGTTGTGAAAATGGAAAAGCATTAATAGACCCAGTTCAGCTAATCCCCAGAGGGTACAATTTTCCCTTACACAAACCAATTCACACAGAGTTAAACTGATTTTACTTAATTAACCCTGTTGTGGGAATATTTCCCCATTTTACCTACCAAATAAAAGAACTGGTAATAATCAGGAGCTGAAAATTCAAGCTTATCTACAACTATATTTTATTTGTTTGTTGGTTTTTATGAGATTTATTTGCCCCTTATGTCACCTCGAGATGACTCTGGATGGCTTACAAACTTTAAATGAACAATAAATATTCTAATAACAGTAGTAAGTTACAATTACAATTTAAAAAGATGGGGAGGAAGGGAGTGGGATGCACATGGTGAGGGGAGGTGGGGTCTTCCCTTAATCCATCAACCACTTCCAGTGTGATACTTATATACAGTAATCAGTGGTTTTTCAATTATATGATAACACTAGTAAGTGCACACATTTATATAGGACCGTAGAGTGACAATAATCTGTCCATAATTTTAGAGGTTTATTTTTTCCAGCTTTAAAAAATGCTTTACTTATATTCTCTTTTTTTAAAGTGTTCTACATTTAATATCCCTTTTGTTTCTGTTTTTTTTGTTGTTGAATTCCTATAATCTGCAGTCGCCAATGTTTCTGACTTTGTGGACAGACAGTGGGAGTGGCGGGAGGAGGATAGGGGATGGTTCCACACAAGCAGCAGACAAGCCACTTGCGTGACCCAGTTCTGAACAGTCCCTGTGTATAATCATACAGTTGCAGATATTGAAACAGATATTATTACAGCTGCAGATATTAAAGTCCACTTCTTTAATTAGAGCCAACTCTGTCACCTGGAATCCTCACAAATTGATGGGTGTTCCACTACAGTGCTCAGCTTTTTTAGTCCATGAAAAGGTAATTTGCTTTTTTTTTTTTGGTCCAGGTAAGCCTACCTATTTGCTATAAAAATAAGACTTCTATCTAATTAATGTTTAAATAATATTTCCTAAGGAAAGATTAGTAGAGTAAGGTTCCTATTGTGTCATATACTTCCTTGGAAACAACTTTTACTGAAATTAATTGGCTTACTTTTGAGTAGAGGTCTTCAAACTTGGCAACTTTAAGACATGTGGACTTCAACTCCCAGAATTCCTCTGCCAGCCCTAGAGCAATCATACGGGCAATAAAGATATTTAGTGGAGCTAGGGAGGGTTTGCTCCAGCACGAGTTCACTATGGAATACGAGTGGGGCTCCCCAGGAGAAGAAAGTGATGGAACGGACTTGCAGTCTTCCTTGCTGGCTTCCCCATTGACGTTGCTTGAGGGAAACTGGCAAGGAAGATTGCAAATGGTAGCCATGTGACCATGAGATGCTTCAACAGTCACTAAGGATTTAAATCATGAACAAGTGAGGACAAGGCTGCTGCGACAGCCAGAATTTTGAGGATTGGCTGTAATTACCACTTGCTTAATACCAACTTTAGTCACTGAACAAATGGTAATTAACTGAGGAGCACCTGTAATACATGGATGGTATACATTTGGCTTGGTGGGAATCGCAGCCCTGTCCCAATTCATTTCTAGAATGGTATCAGATCATAACGATACGTAAAATAAAATTGTTGGTAGATGCTTTTCTCATTCTCTATTTTCCTCTAGGGTCTTCTCCAAGCCTGCAACCAGCTCCGTGCTGACTATCTCTTCCAACCAGACAAGGGTTATGATACAGTTTATGACACCGGAGACAAGACAATCCAGTGTGGTCGACATGTTGATGTCTTCAAACTATGGCTAATGTGGAGAGCTAAAGTAGGAGCACATTCATTACTGGATGAACAAGTCGGTTGCTTTCAGTTTCTTAGTTTTTAATATGAGATTTAATTCATTCTGTGACAAACTGCATCACTTGAGGATATTTTTTCAATCAAAATTAATACTATTAATAAATGTACACACACACACACACATATATCCACTTGCAAGTGTTTTTCTCTTGATGTGCACATGTGTGTATATACATTTGCACACTATTTCTAATATGCGCATTTATGTGCATGTCTCAATACGAATAATGAACAGTTTTTGAAACACAACGTTTAGAGAAGGCACCTTCTGGAGGTACAAAATTACAAATTTTGTACGAAAATGTGAATCAGTTATCTCGACTGAGCTGAGATATAATGCAATAATAATACACACGATGCTGCAAACAGAATCTCAGAAATCAAAGGAAAACACTGAAGTCCCCAATGCTGTTATGGAAAGAAGGCAGAGAAACTGAGACAGAAAGTGGGAAAGTTATAGATGACAAATAATGTCAAATATAGTCACAAGGCAATTTTTTTTGGAACTCCTCCTTATCTGTGAGGAAAGTCTATACTTCTACTACACAACCAAACAATACCTGAAAGAATTCCAAAAGTCAAAGTTACAGAGTTACCCTGTGGTAAGATGAGCAACAAATACATTTGAATGAATGAATGAATGAATGAATAAATAAATAGAATCTGATCAGTATTGCTGGGCCTCAGCAATAAAAGTATTTATCATTGCTGGACTTCTTTCTAATGAAGTGCTAGTAAAAATCTGCAGAGAAATCTTTCTATTCTTCAAAAGGCAGTTTCTGAAATTTCAATATAGCCATTATGTTACTTTACAGTAGCAAGATCTCATTTTAATTCTTTGCTGGCCCCAGATAAATCATTGTCATTTTACCTTGCAAACCTGCAGTGTATAATGGAATGAACCATGTTTGTTCTGCCTTTTCTATCTTTACAGGGCACAGGAGGATTTGAAATTCTTATCAATAAATTTTTGGAACTTGCAGAATATCTTTATAAGGAACTCAAGAGAAGAAACAATTATGAGCTGGTTTTTGATGCTAAGGTTAGGAGTTAACAGTGGCAAGAAGTCTCTGCATTACTTCTTTATTTTGTTAATCTACAGTTTTCAGTTCCCACGAAAATCTTCTTCACGAAGGATGAAAATAGCCAGTTTGGTCTAGTGCAGTGGTGGCGAACCTATGGCACGCGTGCCAGAGGTGACACTCAGAGCCCTCTCTGTGGGCACATGTGCCATGTCCCAGAGATGGCAATTGTCCCTCTTCAACCACCCACCCACTAACTTGCTGAGGTCCTATGTGGCTGGATTCATCCCAGCATAGCTGGTTTCCCTCCCTCCCTCCCCCCCCATCCCATCCCTCCTGGCCTAGCATGCTCTCCTTTTCCAGGGCACGACCCACTGCATTGCCTCCTCAGGTGTCGGCCGGCCATCAATCTCAGAGGCGGCTTCTCTGAACTGCTGGAGCTCCAGAGTGTGCCAGTTGAGGGGCCAGTAGGCTGTGGCTGCTGATGGACACTGTCGCCCCCCGTGTGCTCTCTGGCCTCTATGTGCAGGGGCCAATGGTATTAGGCAGCAGCCACCCCAATCCCTGCCTCGCTTTGCCCTGTGACAATGGCACACCTGCCCTGCCTTGCCTTGCCTCACCCCGCAGGATGGCCTCCTGCCCACTGCCCCACCTGCCAAAGACCTCCTGGATCTCCCCCAACCCTGCCCAGCCCTTACAGATGTCCCTCCCCAAGAGCAACATCAAGGTGATCATGCCCACCTTGGCCACGCCCACCCAGTCTGCCACACCCACCTTGCCCACACCCACCCAGTGGGTTACGCCCACCTGGCAGCCGGCGATAAATAAGTGGCTTTTGGGTTGCAGTTTGGGCACTCAGTCTCTAAAAGGTTTGCCATCACTGGTCTAGTGGTTAAGACACCAGCTAGAAAGCAGGAGACTGTGAGTTCAAATCCCGCTTTCACGATGAAAGCCAATTGGGTGACTTTCGGCCAGTTGCTCTCAGCCCAATCCATGTCACAGGGTTGTTATTGTGGGAAAATTGGAGAAAGAAGGAATATTGCATATATTTGCCATCTTGACTTATTTGTAAAAACAGTAATGGCAGGATATAAATAAAATAAATAAATGGGTACACTAAGTTAATTATCACAACACTTACAAAGATCTTCCAATCTTTCTTGGCTGAATTATAAGGAATAAATGTGTTTTTTCCTCTTTCATCCCCACCTCCTTCAATCCTTTTTTTTTCAGTCATTTTTTTTTCTTAGTCAAAGCTTTGCATACGAATCTCCATGCAAGTGAATTCTTTGTATTACATATTCTGGGTGTGAATCAGGATTTCCAGTGACTAGGAAGAATGAAACATCTTTTTCCCTAGGTTCAGTAGGTGCCAAATAAATGAATCAGATTAAATGAAAATATGTTCAAAAAATGGATTTGAACCTCACATTTCTGCTTCAGCTGAGTAGTATTCTGATGCTCAAATTCTACGTTTTCCAGAACTTCTTTACAAATTCATTTGGGTGCATATTTATTTGATTTTAAGCCCCAGAGATTTCCTGGAGTTATTAATGTGTAAAATGTAAAATGTTTCATAAATATGCGAACATGAGAAAAGGCAACCCTTAAATTTTCATAATGCTCCAGGAGAGAAAAATAGAGTAGCAAATGTGCAGAATGAATCAAAAGACATAAAAATGCTTCACAAATAGATAGCAGTTGTAAAATTATCACTAAACTAAAAAAAGGACTATGAAAAGTTAAACTAAATATAAGTTAGATCTGGAAAGATTCTACAGCCTAAATTTTTGATATTTGTGGAATGTTCTTCACACACATCATTTTTTTTCTGAGCTAATGGGAAACAGTCAATTTTAAAATATGCAATAATTCATTGAGATGCCTCAGAGACTTCTATATAATTAATGAAACTTAAATAGACTGTGTTTTCACACATTTTATCTCAGTAGATATTAATAAACATCTCATGGAAATATCCTACACCTGAACTAATGATAACTGTCAATAAAATAAGTTAAAATTTATGTACATGCAGAAACAAATTCAGCCAATATTTAAGACTGCAGTGAACTTAATAAAAATAAGTTTTAGCTTAATTCATTATGAATTTTGACTCTGTAGTGGAGAAACAACCCCTGAGCTATTTTGTGATGTTTATTGGGTTGTCAGTAGAAAATATTTTCCCCTATGTTAAACAGGCATGAACAGTTGTGTTTAATAAGAGGCAATTCTGAAGGATGAAAATAGAATGGCTGAAGTTTCCAATGAGCATTTTCATGCTGGGCATTATATGGAAAATATAATATCTTGCAACATCATCAGCCAACTGAGCAATTCATGGGCTTACCATGAATTTATAATTATAGTAAGGATTTTGCATAAATAGTGGATTTATTTTAATTTTGTTTCCAAGACTTCAGACTCCAATTTCCCCTGCCTATTTGATAAAGTAGTGCATTTGTTACAGAAATAAAAATGTTTGATTTTACCTCTTCTTTTTTTCTTAAAAAAAAAAAAAAATCTTCAAGCCTGAATTCAGCAATGTATGTTTCTGGTATATCCCACCAAGTGTTTATCAAATCCCAAAGGGGCCAGAAAGAGACAAAAGACTTCATCAGGTAAAAGCTCATATGTACATTTTCTTTTAGTTTTTTAGAGCAACCTTAATATGTGTGGACTTCAATTCCCAGAACTTCCCAGCCAACCAGTCTGGGTATGGAATTCTAGAAGTTGAAGTCCACATATATTAAAGTTACCAAGTTTGAAAACACTATGTTAGAGCAAATCTTCTATCTATCCCTCCAAATTTCACATAAGTTAAATACAGTAGTGGGATTCAGCCAGTTCGTACCACTTTGGCAGAACCAGTAGCTAATTTTTTTGTTGCCCAGGCCCCAAATGGACTTCCAGAAGCGGCATCCACACAGAGAACTGGTTGTTCACATATTTGAATCCCACCACTGGTTAAATACATTAGATGACAGTTCCTACTATCCTTACCAATGATCCATTGAGTGTGACAGCTAGAGACGAAAGATCATGCAATCCAGCATTTGGGGAAGGGAAGTCTATCTTATGCATAGTAGATAGAATCTGCAATTGCAGAAGATCTGGTTTTGCTTTCAGCTTCTGATAGACATATCTGACTGTTCCTGTTCTACATGGTTTTACCCAACATTTCATTCTAGTTTATTTCTATTTTTTTTCTAATCAAAGACAGACCACTGAATCCTTTTTTAAATTCTTTAATTTGTTTTATTGAATTATGATAAGGCATAAGTAATACATTATATTATTTGAATACAGTGTTATTTATATCATATTGATTAGAGAATATTAAGACTCTAATGTTTAAATATTTAAAGATAAAGAAAAAAATAATAATATTAAGACATTCCTAAAATATCAGTATTGATAAGCATAAAGTTCACCATATTTTATTCAGATATAAATATATACTTTAATCATATTTCTGCCAACAATCCAAAATAATGGCTCCTACTACTTACTCTTTAGTCCAGTGGTTCTCAACCTGTGGGTCGGGACCCCATTTGGGGTCGAACGACCATTTCACGGGGGTCGCCAAACAACGCAGTCCGCCATTTTTTCCCCCTTTTCCTTAGCTGTGCTACTCCCTTTTATTCTATTGGCTTTTGAAAGCCAATAGAATAGACTCTCTTGAATAGAGTCTAATTCTATTGGCTTTCAAAAGCCAATAGGAATTGTCCAGGCTGTCTCTGCCCTGCTGAGCCCGCCAAAAGTCCCATTCTGCAAACGGTGCTGCACCAGTTGAGTAGTCCTCGACTTACGACCGGTTGAGTAGTCCTCGACTTACGACTGGTTGGGGGTCGCGGCATTAAAAAGGTTGAGAACCACTGCTTTAGTCTCTTCGATGCTTTATCCCAGAAATTAAGTACTGTTTTCTGCCCTATCTATCCAGGTTGCTCCAAAAATAAAAGCAAAGATGATTGAAGAAGGCACTACTATGGTTAGCTACCAACCTTTGGGGGACAATGTGAACTTTTTCCGAATGGTCTTCTCTAATCCAGCAACCAAAAAATCAGATGTTGATTTCCTCTTGGAAGAGATTGAAAGGCTCGGGAAAGATTTGTGATAATCTGGAAAAAAAATGTATTATTAATATTGTGGAGATTCTCTACAGCAGTGTTTCTCAGCCTTGACAACTTTAACATGTGTGTACTTCAACTTCCAAAATTCCCTAGTCAGTCCTCTGATTAGCGAATTCTGGAAGCTGAAGTCCACATCTTAGAGTTGTCATAGTTGAGGAACATGGATTGTTGTTGTTGATGTTGTTATTTTTTTTCCATAAAAGTGCTGCGCTGTACTTTACTTTCTATCTGGGGTGAAAGTAAAAAGTCTGAAACATATTGGGAAGAGAGTTAGATCTGATGACTTATATCATTTTCCAAGAAGCTTATACTTGCACAAAGTGGGTAAAGAATCTTACATGTCTTTTTACTCAAGGCAGTGAGCATTGTTTTCTCATAGGCTGCAGCCTAACAAAACCTCTTAGTTAGAAAGTTCATGTGATCATACTGTGTTGTATGATCACTTAGGTAATCTCCAAAGGAAATCATGTGTGAGAATCACTGTGCACAATATAAGTATTGGGCGTTTTAAAAACCCCACAGAGACACATCTCATGGCACCATTCTCGGGATTGAGATAGATCCAAGATGGCAGTCCTTCTCACTGCACTCCACTAATTAATAACCAATGATTTTCAGAAATACAAGTAGTCCCCAACTTACAACGATTCATTTAGTGACTGTTCAGAGTTACAACAACACTGAAAAAAGTGACTTATGACAATTTTTCATACTTATGACCGTTGCAGCAGCCCCATGCAGTAGTTGCAGCAGTGATCAAAATTTGGATGTAAAGACAAAGTGGAACCTAAAAAAGTTGGCCAGACTACAACTAAAAGTAACCCTGCATAATAAAGATTATTTGGATCCCCTTCAGTCAGGGGCCAAGCCTAGACATGGGGCAAAACCACATTGGTCATTCTTGTGATGATCTATAGCAGGATGTGGGTGAGGATGGTATTCTTAGTCCAATAGTTTTAGAAATGCATGCACTAGGTAGACATAGCCTAGTCAGAAAGTGTATCCACTTCCTGTGGGACTAAGCAGGTAAGCAGGCAAAAGCCCTGAAGATGGCTTTCTTGGTACAGCTTCATCACTTTAGCGTAGCTTATTTTAGAAAGTCAAGATGCTGTTCCCATTCAGTAATTAGAAAGATGGTGATAAGAGTCTTCTTTCATGGGGCATTTGGAATGGAAGAGCAATGACAGATAGGTAATGATTGCATGGATATTAATGGATTGGTTTTACATCAAATTTTGCTTTCAGTATTTTTAAAAGTGTAAGCCATTAGAGTTTAGTCAGTAGGCAGCACTAAATTATTGTAAATAAATAAATCAAATCAATAAACAGAGATTGTTTAATTCTTTGAAAACACCCCTGACCATTATCTATTGTTTTATACCAGTTTTAGATTTAAAAAAAAAAATTTAAAATTTATTTTAAAAATGGTATGCTATTCTTCAAAGTGTTCAGATTTTCTTGGGGCATATTTCAGTATTTTCACTAGTCAATGCCTTATAGATGTATAAGAACTGTCATTTCTGGAACTTGTGCTTTAGATTTTTCACCATCAATTTGAGAAAGATGGAAGTAAATGAGGCAGAAGCTGGTGCATGTGCCCCAATGTGTCCTGTATGGTGTGGACATCTGAATGCCTGAATAGGGATTATGTCTCAAACAGGTGATTTGCCAAACACGGAAGTAGAATTTTATAAAATTTAAGAGCAACGCGCCTATTTCTCCTCAATGAAGCACTTCAGATAGAACTACCAGATTTTTCTTCTGAAAATTAAGATACCTCTGAGTCTGGGAATATTGCCAATGCAGAATTTTAGAGTTTAATATGGAGCCTGGGAAATTCAGCAACTTAAGATGAGAATTTGCTCTATGTTCCTATTCACAGTTCTACCATAATACCTCTATTATGGCACTATCAATGCAATAACCAAGGATAAAGAATATAAGGTCCTCAAGGTGTGGTCTCAATTATAGCTCTCATTTCCATTTAAGTGTAACCATGTAAATTGACACTGTTGGAAATTGTAGCCCAAAATATTTGAAGGACAAAAGTTTCTCATTCCTAGAGTAGGCAGTGTAGAGTCTGATTTCATTGATTTTCACTCCAGTTTGGTGATTTCAGCTACAACAAGGCTCTGCTTCCACAAAAGACTTAGCAGAACCAAAAGGGATAACAGAGTTAATTAATTTCAAGGGATTGGATTGGATTTTGAGGGTTAAACTAATTCCACCCAATCAACCGGTTTGTGTAAAAACACCAGCAACCCAATCAATTACTTCATTGTGTTTACTTAGTTCTGAAGGAAAACAAGCTGGGGAAGAAGAGTAGCTGAAAAAGCAAATTTTTCTATTACACTGTTCACTGCCAGAGCCATGCAGTATAGGACATATCTTCTTAGAAGTCCTTGTTGTGGCCAAGTGATGCCTCCAATTTCCTGTCTAGTCAAAAGGAAAGAGGATAGAGACAGTATTAAGCAGGAGCTCTTGGGTTATCAGGTACTTCCTGGAATAATCAGCAGGAATTCTATATTCCTAAAATGGCAACTTTTGACACAATTGTTACATAATTATATCCTGCCTGAAGTTCTGGTAAGGAAATCCAGTTTTAAAAGTATCGAAGGGGTTCTACATTCCCTTCTGTTGAAATGGACTGATGATCGTTTTTAATGATGTTTTTTGAAGTTTTTCTTTTCATAAGATCATGTCTGTTCATTTTAGGTAGTGACAAATACTGGTGAGTGGTATCTAAACTGTAAATTTTACAGTTCAGAGCACGGATGTCAAACTCGCTGCATCACATGATGTGTTGCGACGTATTGCAACTTTTTTTGCATTGCCGGACCTGGGGTGGGCGCTGCCTCCGCATGATGCAACCAGCCCGGGGGCCGGCAGTTTGACACCCTTAGTTTAGAGTTTTGTAGTGATTTATAACCATTTCTCAAGATGATACAAAGATTTTTGTTTTATATATTAATTTAATCAATTACCTATAGAGCCCTACATAACCTAGGGCTAGGTTATCTGAAGGACTGCCTATCTCCCATGGTTTCTGATGGCCACTACATGCCAGCAGGCTTGGTATACTCCAGGTCCTTATAATTAAACAGTGCCATCTATGGAGACCCAAGAATGTGACTTCTTTACCATGGGGTCTTACCTCTGAAATGAGATTCCCCCTTGAGATCCATGTGGCTCCCATCCTGATCAAGTTCTGCAAAGTTCTGAAGACCTGGTTGTTCTTTCAGGATGGGGATGAGATGGAATGGAACCCTTTATGTTTGGTATGGGGAGATTGGATTTCATCTGTTTTGTTACATACTGTGTTTTTATTTTTATTGTGAACTGCCCATGGATGATTTGGAATTGGGCAGTGCCTAAACCAAATTAAATAAATAAATAGTGGCCAACAGCAACATGGATTGGGAACATATAATGAGTATAAATAAAAAACGAATCTAATTGGATTTTTGCTTTGTTGAGACTTTTGGCAGCAAGAGTTGTATTATGTTTGACTGGATGACAATTTAAAGGCTCTATATTAAACTAAGATGGAAATGCCATTGCTAAACTAGAATAACTAATATGCATATAAATTCAACATTGGCTTGAGTATGTTTAATGTAAGAATTACATTCAACCAATATCATTATCTAACAAAATAACTAATAATAATAACATTAACTTTTCAAACACTCACATTTGGTTCAAATTGGTCTGATTTCATTGAATTAATCAGAAAGAAATTTTATCATCTTCCAAAATCATTTTAAGTCTAGTCTTTCTACTGAAATAGATTGCTAATGAGCATCTCCAATTACTGAGCATAAAAGTTATACTAAGAAATCAAAAGCCACTAAAATAAAGAAGAACAATCACATAAAAATCTGGCTGTGAGTGAAAGAAAGAGTAATAATATCATTGAAACTCACCCATTTTGAATAATACACAATTATAGCTTTAACGAATTAGCATTCACTGATCTTGCTGGCCTTAATCGAATGTAAATCATTCAGAGACAGCTCTTTCTTCAATAAGGTTATAGAGATTATTGCATATCCTTTTCAAGATAACAGCTGACTGACAGCTGAAATAATAGGATGATAATAGTAGAAATAATGTAAAATAAAATCACAATAACCCTACAGTAGAAGTAGTCAAGAGTTCTGGGAAATGGGCCATAACACATTATTTCAAATCAATCTGGCTAAGTTTTAAAATCCTTGGGAGAAGCCATTTTCATTCCCAACACAGTCAGAAACATCTTTGACAGGTAAGGCAGAAGGCATCTTCACAATGACTACTTCCAGGGTTCTGCAGCTTCCTTATCAAGGGACAAGGCAAATTTTATCTTTAAGGTCCTCTAGATTAGGCCATTTGTTTCAGCCTGTTCACTGTCAGAAGTAAGGATTCCAGACAGAAGTGTGAGAGACTGCTATTTAATTTCTTTTAAATGATTGCTAATTTGTTGTTGTTCAGTTGCTAAGTCATGTCTGACTCTTTGTGACCCCATGGACCATAGCATGCCAGGCCTCTGTCCTCCACCATCTCCCAGAGTTTGCCCAAATTCATGTTCATTGCATCAATGACCCTATTTAACCATCTCATTCTCTGCCATCCCCTTCTCTTTTTCGCCTCAATTGGTTACTAATAGATTTGTTTTAAAAATTGATTTGAATTAATATCTTTGGTGTTTTATTTGTGATTTCTTATTTTTCTCTATTGAAAGCAGCTATTGATCTAAAGCAGCTTATAAACAAACATAAATATACAGACAATAAATAGGATGTGGGGAAAATATGTAACTAGAATTGCTCCACGAGGAGGATGGTGGCGATGATGTTGTGAGGACAGGAAAAAAAAATGCAGCTGAGTGTGCTTTCTCCCTGTCCCCTTTCCCATCAGATATTGGGTCGTAATATCCCTGGGAGAGGGGAGAAGAATTCCTGAGCTCTATTTATTGTGGAAACATGAGATATTGACTGAGTAAATAAAGCTCAAAATAAGGACAGAATGACTCTAGTGTGCGCTTCATTATGCATGTATGTAAACATTTCTTAATTAGATCTGGGGCTAATCTAGCAGCAAGTAGAAAATTCATTGGGATCTTTGGACTGAATAGTTGGTTTTTCAGTAGATTAAGAAAGATGCTGAATTTTTAACATTAGATATCATTAGCCAAATTATATTTAAGTCTTCAGAACGGCTGAGACAGGTTATTATAGGCTGTTGCCTAGGAGAGTCATCAATCACTGAATCACCTATACAAATATTTGCAAGTCCCCAATAGCAGAAAATAAGGACGATGTCCTTGATGGAGAAATGAAGCTCTGTTGTCAAGGTGACAAAGGGTAAAATATTTTTGAAGTCTAGAATGGACGAGCAATGCTTGCAAGCACCTCAGGCAGATGCCTCTCTAATTCAGTAAAATATAAAAAGGAGGAGGAAATACCACGCGATCAGAACTGCAATCTTCTGTTATTATGACCAGTCTCAATAAATGTTCAGGTAGTCCTCACCTTACAACCACATTTGGGACCAAATATCTGCAAGATGGCTGTTAAATGAGTTTACAACCTTTTCTTGACACAGTTGCTAAGCAAATCATAACACAGAATACAGATAACAGAACTGGAAAGGTGACATCCAGAAATAATCCCACAAACCACTGTATTATATTTGAGTTTCTTCATCAGGATAACAGAATAACAGTGTTATTGTTGACTGTTAGCAACTCCATAGTACTTATTACATTTATATGCTCCCCTCAAATTCCATATGACTCTGAGCAGAATTCTCCATGATGGTCTGTTCCTAACCTGGTCCTTCAGTTCCCCCAACAGTGCACTCATTGCACAAGCTTTCACAAGTGGAAGATTTGTACTTGAATTTGCAAAAAAGATGAGGGAAACCTAGGCAGCAGACTTATTCAATTGAAAAGGGTTCAGAAAGAGCCCGCCTGAACAAGTCTTAAGGGAGTCAGCCTCTTAAACTCAGGACAGAGATATTAACAAATCTGATAATTACCAGTGATATTCCAAAATCAATATTAGAAAGAAAAAACTCCCTTATATTGAGAATCTTAAATATCCATTTAAGATATTAGATTAGATTCAGTAGCTAAATCTACTTTATAAATCTAGTGCTACATTTCAAGTACATAAAAATCTACTTTGTCCCACATTATCTGATCTATTTTCCCTAGAGATGCACATTTCCCAAATGCCTGTTTTATTTTGAATCTGTTCTTTACTTATGCTATATTTTTCCCATTAAAAATTGCAAAGATATCCCACTAATTTTGAGCAGTATTCAATGAATGGGTACACTC